CTCTTTCAACCCAAAAGAACTTTTCATTACACAATCAAACAAAGAGTTGAAGGGTGGATGATCGAGCAACGCGAACGTAAAACTACAAGATATGATTCAGTAAGTCTCTTTAATTTTTAGAACTAAACAAATTGGTTTTTTTGGAGCATGTATGTAGAAATAGAACACTTTATACACAATTACCCAAAAACCTTGATAACATTTACATGATGTGGGATTGCAGTATTTTTTTCATATCGAATCACAAAGATTGTTCAGATCTGTTGTGGAGGTAACAAACTTTATACTTTATGAAACATATCCGAATAAACCCATTCCCAAGCCAAAAAAGAAAAAAGTAGAAGAAGGAGGTAGTTCCACAATGCCTCTAGGAGAAGAGAGTACTCCAAATCAAAAGAAGGCCAACAAGCCAAGAAAGAACATGGAGAATGGGGAGCAAGGGAGTGCTCCAGTGCAGAGGAAGGTTGGTAGGCCGAGAAAGGTCATCGATGGGGAACAAATGACTTCTTCTGTATGTTGTTTTTAAGTGTCTACATATATGTTTTTAATAAAATATTTAAGTCATCAATAATTTTCTATTAGTAAGATATTTTGTCTCAATTCTTTTGCTTCTTTGTATAGGTCCTTATGATGAGGAAACCGGAGAATAAGATGGTGAAAAATGTGACTAATTCAGTGAGTATAGTGCATATGTTTATTTATATGTATATATATATAATCCACTTATTTAAAAATGTATGTAATAGTTCATAGATGTGTAAAATGTTGACTAAAATAAGCTTGGTTTGCTTATTAATTTGTAGGTGCCAACCAAGGAGGAAAAGCTAAAAGGGGCAGCAAGAGAGATGTCTAGGGTCATTAATGAAGTAGTTAATTAATATAAAAACTTACTACTAATATTTTTATTCTTGAGCAAATTACTAGAATAACTTGGTTTGTGTTTGTTGGATAGACAATGAAGCCTTCGGGGGTAAGATTCATGGATTTTGGGATAAATAAGGTGGCAAATACAAATTATTCTACCCAAGTAACTAAATTAACCTAATTATGTAATATGTAGCTATTTGTAATGGATATAAAAGAAAATTACATTGACTTAATTTCTTGGTCCTGATAGATGGAAGGGACGACAACCAGGAAAGAAAAAAGAAAGAGAGTAGAGGTAGAGATTGATCCCGTTGATGAGGTAATTAAGTTTAATTCTTATGTACTACATAGTTATAAATTGTATGAGTGAATAAACTTTATTTTTTATTTGTCTAGGTGATGGATCATTTTCAACAGGAACTAACAGCTGAACTGAACAACAATGTTACAAAAAGTCATTTGGTGAGTTACTTGTAATAAATTTTTAAGTTGGTATACAATTATGCTATTGATATATAATTATGCTACAAGAAAAGAACTGTTGTTCATGAGGCAAAATGAACTGTTATTTTTTCAGGAGGGAAAAGAAAATGCTATTATCCATAAGGCAAAAGGAAGTGTCGATAAATATAACTCAAAGTATCTAAGAGATGTTCTGAAGAGCAGAATGTCAGATTCTCAGAAAGAGAGTTTTTTAGAAGAGTTTTACATGGTGATGACAAACAAGAAAGAGACTGATGGGGAGGAGCAGAATATGTACGTTGGTGGTATTCATGGAAAAAAGATGAAGAACCCCGAACCCTTCTTGCAGTATAAACCGAAAACCGTTTGTAAGTCTTCTTAACTTCACAAATGGGTAATCGGAGTCCGTCATGATGTTCCATTTAGGACAGAGACCAGAGTGCATTAATTCTCAATTTGTTGGTTATGATGATATTTATGTATAGTGGAGAAACCTCTAGAAACAAAATTTTAATTTAACATACAAGGGAGTTATCAGTAATTTTGCTTTAGGTAGAACTAGACAGAAAAATAATATTTTTTCCTTAATATTATCGCAAATTATCAATTTACTCTCTAACTTTAGCCTATTTTTCATTTTAATTTTAACTTTTGTTACAAAATCATCCTCAAGTTTTTCAATATTTTTAAAAATAAAACACTTACTTCGAAATGAAAAACAAAAAAAAATGTTATGATCTAATAATTTTACTTTTTCATCGAGAAAATAAAGAAAACTCGACTCTTAAAACAAATAAAAGATGTTAGCTCGAGACCAAACTATAATTAAAAAATTATTAGAGAAAACATTGCAACAAATATAAATTTTTAGGGACTAATTTACAAAATTTTCCTTTTTCTAATGCATTTATAAAGAAAAGAAAGATTTTGGAATTAAATTATGCAAAAAATATAATTTGATATCTCTCCCTATTTGGTTTGTAAGAAAGCTAAGGTTGTGTTTGGGGGAAAAGAAAATATAATGTTTCTTCTTCCTATGAAGCTAAAAAAGAGAATGGAGGAAAGTAAATTGAGAGAGAGTTAACAAAATGTGTTTAAATTATTGGGTGGAAAAGGAAATGAAAAATACATTTTTGTATTTTTATAGATATTATACATATATATATATACATATAACATTATTATTTACTTATGTTTTAATTTCACCTCTCCATATGATATCTCTTTTTATCGAGATTATCTGAATTTATACGATAATGTATCTTCAAATATAGATTATTTAGATATTGTTAAGAATCCTTTAAACTAAAAGATCGGAGAATCCTAATACGGTGAATCATATATTTTTTTTTCCTACCATTTTTTATATTAGTTAGTGAATTATATATCAAATACAAGAAACTTTCAAAATACATCATTATTTGAATTTTGAAAGAAATTGATTTTATAATAACAAATTAGACAAGGAGATATTATAGATATATGTAATATTTTTATTTTATAAAATATTTTATCTTTAAAGATAAATTATCTAAATATTGTTAAATATCTCGTAAACTAAAAGATTAGAAAATTCTAATGTGGTAAATAATAATTTTTTTTCCTAACGTTTTTTTATATTAGTTAGTGAATTATATATCAAATATAAGAAACTTTCGAAATATAAAATTATTTAAATTTTGAAAGAAATTGCATCACATATTAATAAATTAAACAAATTTTCATTTTTTATAATATTTTTTAATTTTATCTCTCCACATAATATCTCTGTTTACGGAAATTATATAGATTTATAAGATAGTGTATCTCTAAAAATAAATTATCTAAATATTAGATTTCTTAATATAATTTTTTTAAAAGTTCAAATATATGGTAAATACTAAATTTTTATATTCTTTCTTAAAATTCTAACTTAAGACGTAAATTATATGATGAACGCGCTTCACATTCAAGTTTATATATAGGACAATGCACTAAATCTCAACAATTTAAGAATTAAAATTACTATATTACAAAATTATGATATGCTTTAGAAAACATTTAGAAGAAACGAGAGAGACATTAAAAAAAGATACGTTAATGCAATTTTTACATCATTGAATTCGTAATTTCGTAAGAAACGAGAGAGACATTAAACATTAGAAGTAACGAGAGAGACATTAAAAAAAAAGATACGTTTATGCAATTTTTACATCGTTGAATTCGTAATTTCGTAAGAAAATTCATCATCGCCAGGTAAATTATCTTCGTTGAATTATTGAAGTACCTCGATTATTTTATATTGGAGTATCTCAATTTTTTTTTTATTTCTTAACTCCCAAATAAAAATTTATGTTATAAATATATATTACTAAATAAATTTTAAAAAAAATGCTTCAATAAAATGCAAAAAAAAAAAACACTAGGGAGAGACGAGAGATAATAAACGGTGCCGTTTTGGTAGAAAAAATTCCTTTCATTGTCCCCCGAAGGGTTTCTGCGTTCTCCCCTGAGGTCGAGGAAGAAGAAAATATCAGAATCATATAGCAAGCAATGATTCACAAAGCAATAAGATCAGCAGTAACCCTAGCTCGATCCTCTCTACTGATACCTACATATCATGGAACCTATCTTTTCTCTCCGTTGCTTCCTTCATCATCATCAGCAGTACCATTCGCATCAGTTCATGGTGGAACCAACGCCCAGAACGCAACCTCAGTTGCAAATCAGATGATTAATTGCGCTCTCGCACATGCTAGGTCTCAGAAATCAGGTTCTTTCTACCCGTTTCCTCTTCAATAATTTCTTTTACAGCTTCGAATTTCATTTCTGTCTAACTTTTTCGAAATTTTTAATGTGGTTTTTTTTAGATGAATCATACGGACAAGGCATGCTGATGCTTGAGCAATGCCTTTCTTTTCACTCGAGTGAGGATCAATCAGCTCAAAATTCTAGGGGAATGGTCTTACTCGCCATGTCTGATATGTTATATGAAAGGTTTATCGTCTTTTTTCGTTCTACGATAAGAAGAGGATAAATTATTGATTTAGAAATATATTGTTTCGCGCATTCCATTTTGTTTTTGATTTGAAGCATTCTTCTGTGTCACTAGAGGAAGTTTCAGTGAAGCAATTGACCGACTACAGGGCGTTCTGGATTTGACACAATCTTCTTTAGGTGTTAGAGGTGAAAATTTTTCAGTCGTATTGGAGATTCTTATTTATGTTCAGTCTCATAGGTGAAAAGGCTTTTGCTAAGTGGTTATGATTTGAATTTATTGTAGTTGCTGCCATGGAAGCTCTTATTGCACTCTATATGCAGTTGGAGCAGGTAATCTCTGCAAATGAAACACCTAAATTGCTTTTTATCAATATACAATTAGAATTTATGTGGAGATGGTTATCCCTATATATATGATGATACTTCATCAGTGCTCGCAGATCATGCTTAGAAATGTTACAAAATGATCAACCAAAGGCTGGAAATGGAAACTCTCATCTTTTTAGTGCTCGTG